AGGAATGCTGCAATAAATCTTCTACATTCTTGTTAATAATATCTCATAGAAAACATGTGTGCGTGCAGGCATGCTTGCTTACCCTTGAATTGCCAAAACTTGAATGGAGTGAGCCACAGGAAACCTGACAACTTAAACCAAAGTACAAAAGACCTAGCATAGTTATAGACTGCTATTTCCAAACAGAATTTATAGTTCATCCTATTCAGCAGTATCAGGTACAAGTGCTTTGATATGAAAAAAGAGTGGTAAGATCTTTGGAGGACAGATATAGCCACCCAATTGGCTATACACAGCTGCAGTTGAGGGTCTAGAGATGTAAGATTTGGCCTGCATCAGAAAGCTTTTTTTAGCTTGCTAAGGAGAACATTTGTACAATAGCATGAATTTAAATATTTCTATACACTTTTATTCTGCATTTTTCACCCAAGTCCTTACTGGGGCTCCTTGAAGATGAGGCCATACAGGAGCATCTCTACAGCACAGTCACACAGACATCCACAATGGCTAGCAAGTACAGCCCATAAGAACCTGGGTTTGCTCAGTGAAAGCTAATTCAATGTCAGAAAAACAATCTTTGTACACCATTACATCTAAGCTAATAAACTCTATAACTACCTTGAATAAAATGCAATATCTTTTTTTATTAGCTTGTGCTTTGTCTTTTACTGTCCTCTCCAGTAAGATATTCAAGACTGTAGATGCTCACTTGACTTGCTGCAGATTTTCTTTAGCACCAACTGAATTGATAAGTTACTGTGTAAATGAGACTGCACTACCACCACATCTCTGAAAAAGAGGGAGCCACAAGTCCCTTTCATACATAGTCTGTGTTAGGCTTTGAGAACAGATCACATTAAAACCACAAAGAAGCACACAGCTCTTGCCTGTAGCCTGGGCACAGTTACGAAGGTGACCACCAAAATACTCAGATGAGATCACTTACAGAGCAAGAAAAGCAGCATGGCCTCAGATGTTTAAGAACTGAGTAAAGCAGAAAACTACATAGC